TATATATGTATGTATATATATATATATATTTAAATTCCATGCATATGTTAAATTTAGAGTAAATTAATATATTAAACCTTTCATATTCATTTTATGATTATTTTTAATAATTTAAAACAAAACAATTTATCTAATATCTCTTTATTTTCTCCTTACATATTAATTATCAAAGTTTATTAATAGATTTCATAACTTTCTAAACTAATAATAAATTTCAGCAGTTAAAATTAAAAAAAATCAATTTAATATTAATTTAATGGTCAAGTAGACGATATAAATATTATATTGATATTTCACTTAATATGTTTATTGAAAATTGATAAGATCTTTATGACATTGACTGAAATTTATAAATTTGACAATTATCAAATAAATTTGTAAACTACTCATATCTAAATAGTTTATTTTCCTACAAACTTAACTAAATATTAATTAATATTTGGAACATAATTCATAAGATTAGTTAAATATAATTTTTTATTAATAATTTTATTTTTTAGTAATTGATAATTAAATATTTAATTAAACAAAACAATAACAATAAACATGTATTTAATTTCAAAATACTCACATTATCAATTTTTAATGTACATCGTATTGGTTAAAATCTAATTATATAAAAATTAAAATCAAAATTTATTTATTTTATATATACTAAAAATATATTTAAATAGATAAAAATTCATTTATTTCTTTCGTTTGCTTTTTAATTCAAATCTCAAAGTTTTCTATCTCCTTTCTTATTTTGGTTCAACCAAATGAGTCATAATTAATTGTAATGATGTGCGTGGCTGGTAGTGTATCCGTTACCCCCATTCATGCCAGTTTTCAGTCAGTTTTGTGTAGAAGAAAAAACGTAAGATGTTGCTTCTAGAACATCTTTTTTGTGTGGGACACATCCAAACAGATTAGAAGTGTCCATCTCAATAACAGTTGTCATATAGGATAAACGTTTAAATTTGACAGCGGTGATTTTACAGAAATGCAAATAAAGTATCATAACTATCATCAATATATCTGTAAATGGTAAATATAAATGTTAAACAAGAGAAAAAATAAAAAAAACCTATAAAATATACATATGCTTCATTGATAAAAGATTTTTTTTAGTGATAAGATTTTTTTAAAATTCAAAATAAATAATATCTTATTAATATAGAAATGTGTATTAAATAATTTAATAAAAATAATAATAAATATATCCACTCAAACAAAATGTAAAATCATAATGTTTTAAGAGAAAAGGAGAAACTAAAGAAGCTACTCTATTAACATGTCGTTGTTGTTCTTAAAACGTGTTGTTATCAAGGAAAACTGACAAAGAAATTCAAGTCTCATGTGAATTGAAGAAAATTTTAAGTTAAAACTCACATTATCAGGGCTGGTACTAAATATAATGTAACGGGTAACGAGTGTATTAGAAAAGCTAAAATCTCTCCCATTCTAAGAGTTAACGTTTCAAAAGATTAATTAAAGAAAATGAATGAACCCTCGAAAAGGTAAAAGTGGCATGCAGCATACCTTGGGAAAGACAAAGAAACAGACATATATACATATCTCAGGACGTTGATCGACCCTAACTTCACAGATATTCAGATCCACTCAGTAGTCTTCAACTTTTTGTGTCTACCGAATCAGGTTGTGGGACGAGGATTCTACGACCAGCTGAGACTATAAATATACAGTAGTAAGTAGGAGCAGTAAGTATGTGTAAACGCATCTAAAATTTTTCATTCTACGGATCTATTTTTCTTTCTTCTGTTGTGGTAAGACTTCATTTATACATAATTTGAGTATATTCAAGCCGATCCAACAAAAAAAAAAAAAGAATTGGTGTTAAAGAATTTGCTACACTTAATTAAATTTAGATCTTGACTTTGAATTGTTGCATCGATTGGATCTAAAGACCTTGACTTTTTTGAATCGAAATTGTTCTCCTGTTGGTTGCATTAAGATTACATATCAATATTAGTTGTTATCTGTTTTCTTTATAAGAGTACCACTTTGATTTAGCTTTTAGGTTATTGATTTTAAGTTTTTAAGAAGATTGTCTTTGATCTGATGGTGGTTTGTATTTGTGTAACTTCTGTTGAGTATCTCTTGTAATCAACTTTCAATATATTCTCTTTGATTTTTCAAAAAAAAAAAAAAAAAAAGAATTGAGTATTCTTTTGAGCACCTGTTAATTATTGCATGTCAAGGACTAGCACCTAGTTAGCTAAGAGGCTTTATCTATTAGATATGCAAATCTCAGGGACCCAATCCATTACCAAACCACAAAAATCTTTGTTTAACATGATTCAATTCCCTTAATTATTTGGATTGTTAATTCCTTATTATTATACCAATTTAAATAAAAGATTAATCGTATCAAGAGAATACAGAAACTATATATGCATATAACTTTTATTTTGCCACAAACTTGTAGAGGTCACGTTTTACTCCCAGTTCTGGTCTACATCGAGAGCTAGATAGGAGCACACACTGAAATTAGAGTTTCAATTTATAAGTATAAAACCATCCATTGGATTTGAACTCATTGGCTGCTGTGAGACAACAATCTCTTTGTTTAGGGCTTGGTATAGGAACGCATCCTATGTTATTTTAAAGGAGAGGAAAAAATGGGTGGGATTTAAGTTAATGAAGGAATGAAAAGGGAAAGGAAAGGTGATTTTTCATATTAGTTTTAGTTGAAGGAGAGGAAAGGGGAGAGTCTCCTTGTTTGTTTTAGTAAGGAGAGAGAGAAAAATAATAGTAGTCTTAACTATAATAAAACTATCTCATACTTTACCGTTTATAATGATCCTATAATACTCAAACAGTATTACCTCTGGTTGAGGAAATCTTTGGTCTAGACAAAAAACTATCCATGCCCTAAGCAAATAATCCAGTGTTTCATTTCTTGCTTCTCTACATCCCTGGTTTTTACATTTTTTTTTCCTTTATCCTTTTTTTTTTTTCAAACAATCAATCTTCTGTTGACATTTTTGCAAATGCACCGTCGCAGGTAAGTGTTTATTTACTTGGTTAGTTTACTAAGAGTAATTTGCATTGATCTCTTCAGGATTTCTCATCGCTATCAACAAGAAACAAGAAAAAGATGCTTCCAACGAATTATGATATTTCATCTGTTCAGCCTACTGTTGCTGCTTCTGAAGAAATCTCAGATTTTGGTCATCAGAGGGAGGATACGGAAGAACCCCATAGCTATCAGGGAGTACAAAAGTATATTTTCAGTATTCCTTTATATCTTTGCGTTTATAAGACTGCATTACTTATTCTCTGTGGATGCCTATGAAACTGGCTAATATGGGTTTTTGTGAACCCAGGGTCAAGGATAAACCAATCTATATAGGTCAAATACCTGACAATGATGCAACCAAGAGTGATCGATTAAGTAATGTTTTATGTACATTAACTCAGAATTTTCATTCTCTATATTTTTTTTTAATAATTTCTCTTAAATAAAAAAAAAAATTCTATTGGACACTTGATAGGTTCAAAGTTCTTATATTATTGTTACCTGTGTATATCTTGCAGTATATCTTGGTGAGTGAAGCAACACGCTCGAGTAATTTTTGACGACTTCAAAAGGGGAAGTGCAATAATTAATTAAACTCTGATAACTTGACCTGAAGTGGTTTTTGAATAAGAACATTTCAATAAAGTGCAATGGAAACTTGTTTATATATATTGCCCTAATCTAAGTAGCATTTTGTTTATGGTGAAAAAAGAGTAATTTTGTTATATTATTATCTCCAATTGCAATTAATGACTTCTATTTATATGAATTAAACTGATGATGAAAATAGTTTTCCTTTATAGATTTGGTCATTATGAATATATCGTGGGTGCTTCCACTGATAATAAATAATTTGAGCAGGTAAATTTGACAAGGACGTACATGCAGCCAGGGCTCATGACTTGGTGGCTCTGAAACTTGGTGCAAAAACAAATTTTCCGGTATGCTACGCTACAGTTAGATTTACTGTCATATCTGATATGCATGCATGTGCATACAAAATATAATACAATAACAAGAACAATAAAGTAAATTGCACAAATTAACCTCCTTTGAGTTTGAGTAGAATTACACAAAATTAATTAATCTCTTCTAAAATGAATGTTAATTTTTAAAACATAAATTAAGGTTATCTGTGTTAAAGCTATAATCAAGAAAACAATAGTGAAAGAAATGAAAGATCATTTATCATTAATATTTCTGTTTAGAATATTTTAGGAGAGGATATGATTGGACAGATAAAAATTTAGAAGATAGAATGACACTGTTACAAGATTAGCATAATTTTCTTATAGCATATAATTCAGATACATTCCCCTACAAACCGGTGGATTAAAACTTAGAAACAGTACAGATTTTTATGGCAGTTCCATCTACATAGTTTTCTCTCTCTCTCTCTTTTGTCTAAGCATAGTTTTTTCTTTTGATAAATGAATTAATTTATTCCAAATTCTTAGAGAATTCTACATACAAATGACTTAATCATGATTTTAAATTGCGGATATGGTACAATTGCGGACATAATAACTATTTTCATGTGAATTGTGGTTAATATAACGTAAAATTATTATATATTTACATTGAATATAAATAAATAGTTCTATAATAATAAAAAATAATCAATTTTTTTTCACCTAATTTTTTATTTCAAATCCCTTTCTCTCTTTTTTAAAATGCATCATACATCTCTTAACACTCTAACCTACTATCATTAGTTGACTCTCTCCCTCTCTTAATAACCCATGTGATCAAAATTATTAGATTAAAAGATTAAAATTTTGAATCTATGTATATCTTTTGAAAAAAAAATGGAATAAAATAGTGTTATAATTGCATTGTGAAATTTCCAATACTTTAAAAATACATTGTATTTGCACATTCTTACGAATGCAAAAAGCACCATAATAGCAATATTGTGGCTGCAACACGTATTGTCAACCGCAATTTATAACCTTGATCATAGTTAATAATTTTTCAGAAGTTTTGGTGTAAGCGGTCACTTTAACTCTAGTTAGTTCTAAAAAATCTGCTGCACTTTGTATCGTTTAAGATGGAAAAGTTGGCTCGACAATGTAATCTGAATAGAATGTAGAAAGAGCCTTGAGAGTCTTGTTTCTCAAACTTGGATACTATTAATTAATTGATAATTATTTACCTTTTAATGAGCCATGTGATAGGCGACTCAAGATGCTTTATTAATTTTATTTTAGAGAAAAACTTGATTTTATTGCATCAATTTTGTCCCATGATACCTTGTTCAGGAAAATCAATACAAGGGAGCAGTGGAGGCTATGACTGATATGACACAAACGGAAGTTGTGGATACTGTCAGAAGGTAATATCAGAAAGAGTAACATTCGTAGTTTTCTTGGTAGTTTTAACACAATTCATTTTCAACCACTTTCTTTTTATACTGAAAAACGCATATTAATCAGACCACATCATTTTGCTATCTCCATATGTAGGTTAAGTTTCACTTTTTTCAAGTCAATATCCACTTATCGTGGAGTCTACAGGTATAAACATAACTATATAGCTGTCTATTAATTTCTAGCTATTATACACGTTTATCTCCCTATCTCTCATTTTTACTTAATTATAAAGCAGAGATTTACATACTGGGAAATGGGAAGCAAGTTTTGGTAAAGGCAGCGACGACGTCAGATTCCTTGGAATATTCGGTGAACTCTTTTTCCCTGGGTATATATATATGTTTAACATGCATAGAGTAAATTACCCTAAAAACTGATGACATCTCGTGAAATTATACTAACACTACCTGTTTTTATAAACTTTAGAGTAACCTCTCCTATACGGGATATAATCATCACAATGTTAATGTAATGTTTTAGAAGTGTTAATGAAATATTTTTCAAACAATTAAGAAAAACTATTGTAAAAATAAAAAAAACTATGAAAATTTTGTGCAAATTCACAAAATCTCTGGTGTCAGTGTAATTTACTCATGTATATTTTATGTATTCCATACAAATTAGATTAGTTAAATGAAATATATTATATATATTTTATGTATTCCATACAAATTAGATTAGTTAAGTGAAATAAATCTGAAGATGATATTATTGAACACGGTATAGTAGGTTAAGATTTGTTTATATTTTGTAATCACAAGGAATTTTTTTTCTCATATATATTTTAGTCTGGAAAGATAAGTATTTTTAAAATATATATTCATTTAAGCTATTTAAAGCATTGGTTAGTTTCTGAGACTTTTTAATTATGTAAACAGACACAGAAGATGCAGCAGCAAGGGCTTTTGATGTTGAAAGTGTAAGGTTGAAAGGACACAACGCCATTACTAATTTTAATATCAAGTTTTATAATGTTGATGCCATTTTGCGTGGAGAAACCAATGAAAATGTAATATATCAATCAAAAGGCACTGGGGCAGTGGAAGCAATGCCTTCTTTTGAAGAAGTGCTTCAGAACATTATTGCCAATGGCACCTCAAAAATACCAGATGATACAAGCAATGTGAAAAGGGAAGGGGAGCAGGAACTTCAAAGGCCAATAACGGGAAACGCTGAAGGACAGGAAAATGTGGCAATGGCTTGTGAAAGTAGTGAGGATGATGGTCAGGGAAGCTCAGCCTGCTGGTGTTTTCAGCATGGAAGGACCGATGCTTGTTAATAGGAGAAAAGTTTATCACCACAAAGAACAAGTTGATGATGTTACTGGAGGACTTCAGCATTAAGGCTTTGAATTAGTTGATTCTCTGGATTGGAGTTTTAATAACTTTATTTCAATATTGAACAGGTTTACCTTTCAAGTAATTTGTTGACCGTTGCTGAAGTTAAACATTGTTAGCACCGTAGTGTGCAAGACCTGGTGAGAGTTTGCATGCATTCTCTTTTTATGTTTGCTTTGAACATTAATTATATACTTTCTCGTTTTAAAGTTAATATACCAATCCTAGAGGGAGCATAGGGTTGTTTAAACTCTGGCTTTTCATTATTCTAGATTGAGCAATTTCATTAAGCGTGTGCACCTGGTGTTTGCATGCTCTTTTTAAGTTATGACAAAGTATTTACTTTAATTATAAAAAAAAAACAAAGTATTTACTTTCAAAACAACAAAAAATTTATTTATTTTTTTCAATGAAGATTCGTTATTTAGTTGAGTTCTGATTCCCATCTATGGTAAGATACCAGCGAAATCTTAATTTGTTATTGTATTGTATTTTTTTTTTTTTATAAGCAAAACTCCATCGAGAGTAAATTTTATTTAGTTGTTTTTTCTTGCCTTGGTTTTTATACGCTAGTTGTTCTTTGGATGAAGCATGTATAACCTCTTCATTTCTTTTCCTTTTTTTTTGGGAAAATTTTGATATATATGGTCCACACATACATGCAAAGAAGATCAGTGTTGATTTGATTGTGTTAGATATGATTAAACACTACTAGATTTTAATCCTTTAACAACATTTTTTTTTTACATTTATTAAAATGTTACTATATATTAAATAAATATGTTATTTTGTAACACTTTTTGAAAAATGTCATTATAGGTAGAGTAACATTTTTTATTTTAATATTATTCTTTCTCATTGTTTTCAAAATCAAAGTCCCATATCGAGTAAAAAAAATTTACAAGTTATTTTGCAACATTTTTTTGAAAAATGTTACTATAATTGCTTCTACAATTAAAGTCTCACATCGAGTAAAAAAAAATATATTTCTCTTATATCTAATTGTAACCCATAATTAAAGTCTCACATCGAAAGATTAATGACTCATAAAGAGTATATATACTCATATAGTTATATTTAAGATAAATAAAATTTGATATTCTATATATAATTAGTGGTGACTAACTAAAAATATCTTTTCCTAAAAACTTAAAGGAACTCTTAGAAGTTTAGGAGACATAAAAATATAATAATTGATAGTAATATCTAAATTAAAATTAATTATTATTTTATAAAGTTAACAAAATCTTGGCAACATCATTAAAATGTTACAAAAAATTATCAAAATATTACAAAAATACTACTTTGATAATATTTAAAAAATGTTACCTAATTATGCAAAAATATTATTAAAAGTCTTTAGCAACATGAACTATATATAATATTTAATAATATATTGCTAAAACAAATTAGCAACACTTACACATAATTAAATATCATTTTTTTAAATGTTGTTAAATACCATTTGTGTTGTAGCGAGAGATTTCACATAAATAAGTAGTAAGTTAAAGTAACATAAATAAATGAGCATGTATGTTACTCTGCCTAAATCACTTTCATACTTTCATATCTCTACTAGAAACGATTTGCGGCCTCAAATGAATCTTAGTGTCATTTTAATGTAGAGAAATTACCTTAATCACCATTTATATAACCTGAGGTTAATCTCATATATATTTTGCTCTTCGATGAAAGACAAAAAATGATAAAAATAACCAATCAAGATAACTTCCGTACACAACTTTCAGACTTTCACACTTAAAAATAGGCCTCCCTCCAACCTTTTTGCTATCAAATGTATTTTTTTAAGCAAGCTCGTCATATTTTTAAAAGTGGACCAGTTAATATCAGTTTATAGAGTTTAATATCAGATTCTAATATAGTTTGACGTTCAAATCTCTATAATACTTCAGACAAAGTTAAAATGAAATGATGTCATTGACGTGTAGCTGGAAGGAGGAGGAGTGTGTCTTTATTATTCAAGGTTATATATAGAGTTACTGGTAGTTTCAGTACAACAAAATTTGTTATTAATGACAATAATTTAATGATAATAATTTAATTGCCACTATATGTAAAAATATTAATGGCTAATATATAATAGTCACTAAAAATGTATTTATATTACACTAAAGTTTATTATTAGCGACAATTATTTATTAGAAAAAACTTAAGTCATACATCGATTAGAGATAAGATAATTAAATAGTATATAAGTGAGTAATAACTATCACCTTATAGGTTCATTTTATAGGATTGACTCCTAATTCACTATTCTAAATTGGTATCAAATTACTCATTGTTATTAAGTTCAATAGTGCTATAAAACAATTAGAGAGTAACTTTCACCTTATAAATCTCACATCTCTTAAAAGACAAAATAATTAAAAAAAATAAATTAAAAAATATATAAATAAAAGACAACTCTCATCTTACAAATCTCACACCGAGTAGAGATAAAAAAGTATATAAGTTATAAATTTAGAAAATGAAATTATAGGAATAAATTATTTAAAGTAAAGAAGACAATTGAAAAAAATAACTTTTAATAACCTTTAAAATGGCTACTAGAATTGCCACTAAAAAAATAAGTTTTTCCGATAATTTAGTAGATCTTTACCGGCATTTTATATAAATGTCGGTAATAGTATTAACGATACTGAATACACCAGCCATTAGTTAAATGCTGGTAAAAAAAAATAATGATCATTTATATGACCGCTAAATAATAAATTAATTGCCACAAAAAACTAATTTTGGTGTTTGGTGAGATAAAAGGCGCAAAGTAGGAGCAAGTTACGATTTTTTATTTTTATTTTTATTTATCTTCTCTGTTGATTGAATGATGTATTTTGTTTATTAAAATATGGGTTGGATGTATGTATCTTAATGATTTTTTTTTTCTGCATCTTAATCCAATTTTATTAAGTGATTTAATATGAGCTTTGGAAATCACCATATTGGCAATTCCAATAGACAAGTGGTTTGAATTTATGTGTAGGGTTTAATAATGGGTCTAATAATATCCATGTTGGATGAATATTCTGGGTTCAGAAGTGTGACGAGTGTCAAAGGCACGCAACTTTACACCATTCTCCAGCTGAACGACTCCACTCAATCTTATCTCCTTGGCCCTTCAACAAGTGGGGCATTGACATTCTCGGCCCATTCCCGATTGCGGTGAGACAGTTGAAGTTCTTGGTGGTGGCCGTAGATTACTTTAACAAGTGGATTGAGGCGGAGCCAGTAGCCACCATCTCGGCGGAGAAGATAAGGACGTTCTTATGGAAGAACGTAATATGCAGATATGGCGTTCCCCAAGTTCTCGTATCGGATAACGGAACGCAATTCGCAAGTGCTCGAGTTCGTGACTTCTGTAGGGAGATCGGTATCCGAATGACATTCACTTCTGTCGAACACCCTCAGTCTAACGGCCAGGCGGAGTCGGCCAACAAAGTGATACTCTCAGGTCTAAAAAAGCGTGTCCAAGACTCAGGCGCTTCATGGGTGGAGGAGCTTCCCCGAGTGCTATGGTCGTATCACACAACTATTCATTCATCAACCCAAGATACTCCTTTTAATCTAGTGTACGGTACAGATGCCATGATCCCGATCGAAATTGCAGAACCTTCTGTACGTACTACAGCTTTTTCTGAGGAGGAATCCGACCAGGGAAGACGAGTTGATTTGGACTTGATCACTGAAACAAGGGAGAGAGCAAGGATAAACCAAGTAGCAGCCCAAAGAAGAGCAGCGTTCAAGTACAACACAAAAGTCGTCCCAAGAGATTTTGTGGTAGGAGACCTTGTTCTGAAGCGCGCTCAGCTAACTCAAATGAGGAACAAGTTGTCACCCAAGTGGGTCGACCCTTACAAAATTGATGATGTGGTCGGCAAAATGAGCTTACCGACTGAGAACCTTGGATGGAGGGATGATATCGAGAACCTGGAACGCTGCAAATCTACGCTTTTATTATAGCTAAACTCTTCTTTCCATTTGTATTAGGTGCACTCTTTTCCTAACTCAGTATTTTTTCCCCGTAAAAATATGAGGGGTTTTTGCTGAGAAGGTTTTTAACGAGGCACCGCCTTTTCAATTCAAATAAATGTCATCTCATTGTTTTTTTTCATGACTCCTAACATGTGTTATTTTTAAAGGCGATAAAACTCGTGATTGTCGGTAAAAGTCCGATTGGGCGAGTATAAATAACTCGAAGACCGAAACTCGTGATTGTCGGTAAAAGTTCGACTGGACGAGTATAAATAACTCGAAGACCGAAACTCGTGATTGTCGGCAAAAGTCCGACTGGGCGAGTATAAATAACTCGAAGACCGAAACTCGTGATTGTCGGCAAAAGTCCGACTGGGCGAGTATAAATAACTCGAAGACCGAAACTCGTGATTGTCGGCAAAAGTCCGACTGGGCGAGTATAAATAACTCGAAGAC